GTAAAAAAAAAAAACGAGAGAAGCTTTGCTAAGTCAAACAATGTTGTACGCCTTACTAGTTTTATCCCGCCTTTGCATCTCGAACGAGTTCTGTGTTAAAAATAAAAGGTAGCATAAACTATGAACGTCAAATAAAGCGCACTTGGCTAAAAGAAGTGCAGCAATTAAATGTATAAAATATGGCATTGGTATCTGAGCAAGTCAAGACAAGACGATGAGAAATATCAGAAGTAGGAGCTATAGCTAAACAACAAGCCGAGCTACAAGCACACAGACAAATGTCTATCAAGGGAGAGTTTTGCTGACAGAAATGTTTGTTCAAGTGCCAAGACAATGTGCTCTGGCTAAACAAAACAAATGGCTAGCAAGGATTACGGCAGCATTTTGGCTGATTTTCAAATGAAATTTTAATGAATGAAAACAGCCAGAAAACTTTGCCAACAAATGCGCCCCAGCTCACTCCCTCTCTTTCTCTGGACTAAGAGAAAAAATAAATAAATTTATAACCACAAACCAAAAATGCGGCACTTGTCGTGCGTTCACAAAATTCTTGAAGTGAAATCTTGGTTGGCAACTCTCCTCTGCTGATCCAAGCTGCTCAAATCTGTCTGCCGAGCGCTGTTCTGAGTGCAACAAAAACAACAGCAGCAGCAAAATAACCATAAAAGCAGCTGCTTTGCACTAAGAGCTGCGCACAGTATGCTGTTCAGATTTACGCTTAAATATTTATCAACTTCGAACAGCAGCCACAATGAATGAGTGGGCGACAGAGAAGAGCGAGGGGGGGGGGGGGGGGGGAGGAATATACATATAAAAACAAATATAAATAGGCGCAACAATGTACTTTAAATGCTCTTACAAAACATGTTTTCTTTATATACTTATAATAAATTTAACCAATTTTATGAGCTAACAAAGGAAGGGTAGCAGAAGCGTGGTTAGGCGAACAGAATGCTGTGTATAAAGCTGGCTTTTAGAGCGCATAAATAAGCCGTTATTGCTTTTATCAGCTTGTGCAATATTTAGAAATTTTCATTCTAACTATTCCTCAGAAACAAAATTATTTTAATGCGAAATCTTATAAGTCTTATAAATAAAATCATTTTGCGATGATAAAATACATATAAAGTTATCTGCTAAACTTTGATATCTGACTTACTTTTACTTTTCATATATATCTAACTAATGTCAATAAAAAACATTCTATGCCAAAACTCTCCAGTTTGACTCGACAAAGACTTAGACGCGTCAGAGTAGGAGTATCTCCTAGTCTGGCACACCAAGCAATTACTCTGAATAATATATTCAGCTTTGTAAACTAAGTTATCATATTTATTTATAATGCTGACAAATCAGCCAAAACGTTGACTTGGGCAATGCGAAACTGAGAGGAGAGAATATTTATTATTTTTTTTTAAATTAAATTTCTTGATATTTTTAAATTGGAATTTATTGCATTTTATTATTATTAGAGAATATTAGTCAGAGTATTATGAGAATATTTTAAATTAAATTTCTAGATATTTTTAAATTGGAATTTATTGAATTATATCAAAATGTTGTTCATCTTTCAAAGTTCTGAATTTATACCTTCGACGCTTCGTAACTAACTTAAGACCGAACTGAGCTTTGGTAAGGCATACAATTTGCTTTATATATTGTTGCTTAAAGAGTTTCTTCTTTCAACTTTTATTCAGTTGTTGGAAAAATGCAGAAACATAAATAATTCTAGTATATATGAATATAGATAGCTTTCTCAATTAATGGCAGAGAATAATATATTAAATGGTATGCTTGCCTTCTTCTATTAGTTTACTGACATGAAATATTGAATATCAAATTGAATTTTCACATTTGAACTTAGCAAAACGAGCAAAGCTAGCAAAGAGCGCTTCATCTCTGCTCCAACTAAATACATTGTTAGCATAACAAATCAATAAATTATGTGTTTGGAATAATTCTGCTGCTTATACGTAATAGGATTCATTAGAATTTCAAAGTGCCCCATTTCAACAAGTGTACAATCAAACGTTTCTGCTTTTTGCGCTAGTTGTGCGCGTTGCGAAACAAATCGAACAACAGGAAGGACAGCAGGAAGGCGGGCAGGAAATGCAGGCATATAATAATTATTTACACGCCGCAAAATTCAGCAAATTAGTTGATGTGAACATCCTTTTGATAAAAATTGCGTGGTTGCTGCGTGGGTGATTAATTGAAGCAGCAGCAGGGAGAGACAGAGAGCAAGGGAGAGTGAGAGAGAGCGAAGCCTGGGTTAAGGCATGCTACGAGACAGGCACAATGCTATGATGACTTTAATTAAATTTTCTTAGCCGCCAAACAATCCTTTTATGGCGCCATGTTGCTGTGTATGTGTGTGAAGGCTAATGAAAATCAAACGTTGCAACACATTCAACTGTCCCAGCAGCTAAGCAAAATGAATGGAGCAGGCATGGCTGGCGCTGCTCTTGCGACCTCCAAGCGGCAGCATCTTGTGATTTATTATTAAATACGAATATGAATATTTCTCAGGACAGCGTGTGCTAGGCATAAACAACAACAGCAGGAGCAAAGCGAACAAAGGGCATAAACAATACGCGCCTGAACCTGCGCGCCATTTTGATGCGCATTTTTATGATTAATTAAAATTTATGTGGCAGCAGCAGCAAAAAAATACAACAAGAAAATTATCTCTGCTTATGTGGCAACATATTTAGCTGCGCCCAATTAAGTGCGAAGCCTAAGATTGAGTGCTGTCAACCCCAAAAATACGCCCACGCTCTCTATGCCCCGCCTCTTGCTGCTAATTGTGGTAACAAACTATGCCGTTAGCTCTGGCAGAGCAGAAAAAAACATGCGAAGGAGAGTTGCGAGGGAGTGTGAGAGTGAGGGAGTGGGCCAGATAGAGCGCAGCGCATTTTATATTTATTAAAGCAATAAAATAAAGTACAGCCACGCCCACCGCTCTGCGAGCTATGCTACGCCTGCAACAGTTGCCCAGATAACGTGTCCTGGCAGCTACAGAGAAATATCGCCATGTCATAGCCGTCATGCAGGTCGCTCCCAAAGGACTCAGCTCACGTTACATAAATTTAGCTGTGTGTGCGAGTGTGTCTACGCGCGTGTTAGTGTGTGTGTGCAAATTGCTGTTGTTGTAGCATTTTGGACAACGCCTACGCCTTATGTTAACTGGTCCCATCGCATAGATTTGGAGGCATATGTAACAAGGGGCGACGCAATAAATTTAAAATTAACCCTTTTAGGTGCACGGCTTTTGACCTCGGCGCCCTTTCAATCTATTTTAGCCAAAGGGCCATTTTTGGCACACACACGCCCTCAACCTCAAATAGTTGTCAACAGAAGCCAAAAACAAAGAAATTTTATTTCATTTGCATGTGTTCTTTGTGGCTGACCCGTACACAAATGAAATGTCTTCAACAGATATTTTTCGTTGCATACTTTTGAGCGCAAAGTTGAAATTTTCCAAAGAATTCGAATAAACCAGCAGGAAAATGGTGAAATATTTTACACTTGACTTGACTGTGTTATTAAAATGTCAGGCATGCTTTGGTATTTCATATAAGAAATTTATTTAATCCGAAAATACTTAATATGCAACTCTTGAGGCAGGTCGGGGCTAAGTTGAGCTCGGACTAAGCAAACTCCATATTAGAGGAGAATTTTTGTAAATAAAAATTTGATAGGAGCTTCAAAGGAATTTCAATGTGTTGATTATGAATCTATCAGTGTGTGTTAACTGTGTAATAGAAATGTTAAAGGGAATTTTGCTACCTTATAGAGTTCTGACTTGATCAAACCATGTACTGAAATCTTTATCGACGTTTTCTTCTTGCTGCTTAGCTAACCTTAGCCAATATGTTACTCAAGACTTTTAAGATATAGACTTATAAATATTCTCAAAATATATTCAAAAGCGCTCTTCTTGCTGCTCAACTAGACCGTAAAAGTTTAGCAAAAATCTTAAAGTTATTCTAGACTTGCTACTAAGTTGTGAAACTCTAGAGTAAATCTCTACAAATAATGACTAGATTTACTAGAATCAAAATTAATATCTTAGTTTACCATTGAGCATCAACTCAGCTAGTCTTAACATCATCTATGTAAAACCAGTCAGCTATATCTTTGCTATATAACCTTCGTTAAATGTCATATTTAGTTCAATTAGCTGTGAGGCACCACAAATGTGAAAGGAAAAAGAGTAAAAAGTGATTTGTGTATGCGGCAGCAGCAACAACGAAAAATTATTAAAAATTCAAATAATTTTCAATGCAATTGGCAAATTGAATAATTGCGTAAAATATAAATTAAGTTGAGAATTTCATTTGGCTTTTGGTTTCAAATTTTAATTAAGTGAAGTGTGTTCTTTGTGTGCCAAAATGAATTTGATATATAAAAATTATGAAACGTTATGCAACTTAATTTAAATGAATTGTGCTGCCACTTATTGTGCCATGATGACATGGCCAAAATAAAGGCCATTAAAAAAGGGCCAGCAAAGTAAGTAATCAGGACTAGAGTGCGCAACACACAGCCACAATGGCATGCTGCGGCAGGCAGCCGGAAGGGGCGTAGCTGGATGGGGCATGACTGGGCGGCCTAGGCAATGGACACAGAGTTCAAGTGGCCAAGTCAAGACAATTCGAAAAATGCTTTTAAAAGGAAATCAGTAAAGGAATTTCGCTTATGGCCAACTGATTGTGCCACAACGGGGTGGCACGCGGCATGAGGCAGCTGTCAAAGGCATGAACTTAGCTGGCAAATAGAAAGAGATGCTGTGCAAGTGAGCGATGGGGAAAGAGAAAGTGAGAGTTGAAGCTGAAAAATTGAATTGTTTTAGATTTCTGCTCTCATTTTCGCTGCGCCAAACAAATAAATCAAATTGGATTTTCGCTTGTGCACTTAATTTTCGTCGAGGAAATTGCACAAAAACTTCATCAAAAGCAGCTGAAAACAATCAGAGTAGGCCTTTTCCTTTCAATATGCTATAAATTTAATTGTGTTTAAACATTTCGTCAAATTAATGCGATATCGATTTCAATGTCTATTCCAAATTTAATGCATGGTTCGCCTTGGCGCCAACAGTTGAATGTCGTTAACCATGCCATACTCAATGTCCAGAGCTGCTGCTACTTTTTCAGCCTGAAAATGGGCTGCAAGCTAATTGTGCTATTCGAAAATATTCTCGGTCTATGGCAGATATACCTCGGCTACAGTCAAATCCATGACATAAATAGAAATTTGGCGCCCGAATGGTTCTCTTCCAACACAACTCAGCACAATTCGGAGTTTTATTTGTTCTTGGGACTCGTTGCTTTCTTTTGCGCCCAACTTCTGTTGGCCGGCGTTGTCTTTGTGAGTATTACGTTGACGATGCTACCTTTATTAAAGACAGATATATTCCTATAGCAACGCAAGGTATGTGTCATGATTTGGATAGGTGTGATGGCATCGTCCACGGTGGCTTTTATGTTCTATACGCTGGTCATTGATTGCATACCTGAATCTATGCTAATCGATACATTGGTCTCAGGTGGGTTACTAAGATATATACAAGCCGGGGTCAGGGTATGAGATCCTCCTACTCGAACTTGATAGTCAATAAGATTTAATACCAGCCAGTGTTGTGTAAAACACCATGTAGTTGAGTCATCAAAAGGAGATATCATTTGAGTATTTGTAAAAATAATTATTTCTGAGAAGGGAATTTTTACATTGTTTTAAGTGTTCAGGGTTAAAAGATATGGACATTTTTGTAAAACTCCACACTAAAACTAATGAAATCGAAGGCTTGATTAACTTTTGTATATTTTGAGCTTTTGAGTGTTGACAATTGATGCCATTTGCAACACTGTTCCCAAAAAATAACAATTATTTATGCACTTTTACTTAGCAAAGTCTAATATTATTAAGAACTGATTCTTGTTTCAACACTAGCTACGCATAACATAACACTTTACAACACTAAAATGCTTCTTTCATCTTTTCAGCTCTTCAAGCATATTTTGTAGGAATAGGTTTAGCCTACCATATGCAATTAGAACGAAGTGAAAATTCTGACGACGATCTCGAGGTGCTCTTCACGGCTAGCGCGGCTTGAGAGCTCTTCGATTAAAAATAGTAAGCAATATTTTTTAAGAAAATGGTTTAGAAATAAAAGATTCATTGATGCAGTTTATCAAGCATTTGTTTCGATTGGACTACAACTAATCGCTATATATTAGATATAAATATTCAGATATTATTTGTTAAGTCATGCCATAATTCCGACCACTACAACCAATCTTTGAGCTATTTAATTGGACTTGATTTGTTCTAATATGTACAAATGCAATTGTTATTATTATAAATTGTAATTAAATTGTATTAGTTGAAACATGCTGTTGTGATAATGGTGTCTAAATATTAGTTCGCATTGAATTCTATTTTTCGTTATTATTGCAATGCAAATGCGCGGAAATTGTAATGGAAATTGTAATGGAAATTCTATTTGCATTTCTCTCTTTTTTATTGCTTTCGTTTGCCTCTTTTATTACTCAAAAATTGATTGCACTGGTAAATTTTGGACAGAGAAAAATTGCATAATCAAATAAAATAATGAAAATATAGTGAAACAGTTTTTTTTTAGTTATTTACTAAATTTGTATCTTCGCTAGAACGAAGTCGGAATGCTCTTTCCACACTCGTTTGTAATCAAATATTAATTTATTTTATTTTTTTGTTTTTTAAGAACTTAATAAATTTTTTTTGAGAGTTTTAATAAATAAATAAATTTATTAAATTTTTATATTTTGGATTAGTTGCAAAAATATATTTAAAATGTTTTGTATTATTATAGTACATTAAAAGTTTTTCTTGATTTATTCTACTCACTCATGCTCGTTTCTTGTACTTCTGTGTGTCTCTATTAAACGTTTTGAGCTTAGAGAATGTAAACTTATAATATATACTTTCTAGCTTGTTGTTCTACGATTGAGTATGAGGAAATCGATCAAATTTATATATAAGCCTTGGCAAATTAACTAAACCTCTATCTGTCATAGTATTGGCATTAACAAGTTTTACAATTGGCACAGGGTTTACCTGCTTAGGCCTCATACTTCAGACCAAAAATATAAATATTCTATTTAGCTCAAATATCTGCGGACTATGAACGAGTATTGTGCTTATAAGTGGCAAGAGCATATAGATATTGGCTAAACTTAAGCAATTGATAAACAAAAACCAATTGATAATTGCAACTAGATAATGCGAATTTCTTACTTTTGCGTACGATTTTTTTGGCGGCTCTCGCGAGGCTGTTGCCGTGGGCGTGCCGCGTTTGTTAGTGCGATTCTTTTTGAGTACGATAACGCGCATGGTGCACTGTTTTTTTCTTTCCTTTCTTCTCTTTTAGATTAGTGATTAGTGGCTATGTGTGTGTGTGTGAGTGTAAGTGTGTGTGGGTGTAAATTATTATTGAACACACGACGAGGTAACAACAACAATTATTAATTAAAAGGCAAATGGTCCGCTGTTTGCTTCTTGCGAGTCCTTCAAATGCCGTTTGCAAACGGATTTGTTCATTCGAGTAAGGAATTGTTGTAAATTATATTATCTTATAAGTTAACTACTAGTTAGTTGAGTTAGCTGTGGTATTTACAGTACAGTTTAACGAGAGTAAGTAGCATTTGTTACTATATAACTAGAGTTTTTAGTTAGGCACTAGATGCTTAGGTGTAGTTGGTGTGTGTGTGTATGTGTGTGTGATAAGATTAAAATGTTGTTCTAGCTATTGCTATTGCGATATCTGCTAGGAGTTTGAAACAAGCGTGTGTGTGTGGGCATCTTATTCTTAGTCTTTTTGGCCAAGTTTTGTTAGCTGTTATTTTTGTTGGTCTTATTAACCGACTATATTTATTAGTAGAATGCACTAATTACGATTAATACGGAAAGCAAGCAAAACGTATCGAAGAAAACTTGCGACAGTGCTACAAATTAGTAATTAATTTAATTTAGAATTTCATATTGTTTGCGGCGCACGGTGCGTATGCGTGTTATTTAGATTTAGATTCAGTTTGGATAGAAAGCTAATTGAAATATATATATTTTACAATATGCGCTGCCTCTAACATTAGTTAATTACTGAATTGTTGTTGCTGTTGATCAACGACATATGTATATTGCTCTTTACTTACGCTCAAATCAAGTTTTATATATATTGTTTGGGTTTATTCGATTTTGTATCTGAACACAAAAGCCTGCCCTGCACTGCGCTCTATGAACTGTATTTATTACATATATATATTGTCTAAGGATAAATTGGTAATTGGTAATTGGTAATTGGTTGTTATTGTTGCTGTGGTTCTTGTTGTTATGGGGACAACGCCTTCGCCTAAGACAAATGCTAGCGCATTTCGCATGGATAGACAGTATTTATATATATATATATTTAGTTTTTGGACACGAGCTATGCCAGCCAATCAAAGGCGACGCTTTTGTTTTTCTTTAATTTGTTGTTGTTGTTATTGTTGGTGGTGTCGTACGGATTGCGGATCACTCAGCAGCTAAGTGGCAGGCAACAACAAGGGGCGAGTTTGTTGGCTCGACGCGCGTTATCAGCAACGTTCAGATGCAGGCACGTGACTGAGCTGGTGCGAGGCTAGCACGTTGCTTTTATAAACAGCAGACGAGGCTGGCTGGCGACGACAGCGACTACGACAACGACAACGACGAAGACAGCGCGACGACTGCGACTGCGACTACGACAACGACGACGATCTGGCAACGCTGCGCATGCACATGTCCCCGACTCTCCACACTCACCCTCACTCTGACTCTCTCACTCTCTCGTTAGCCGAGTCGAAACAGCTGTGCGAGCTTCGAGTTTAACGCCATCAAACAAACAATTTTGTAGCATTTAGTTTGATTCGCACAGTGTCACCTAAAAAAATGCACTCTCACACACGCACACACACATAACACACACTCAGCGCATATTTGTTAATTTTAACACAATTTCTCGGCACGTGTAGTCGACGACATCGTTGATTGTTGTTGTTTTCTGCTGCTGAACACAAGACACTGACTGACCAGACGCTAGCTCCTCTATCGCAATACTAAACGAAGCACGTTTCGTCCTTCCGGAGTTATGCTCCCACAGCATTCAGGGAACATTATGAATGGGACATGCGCAGTGAGCGCCTATGGCAAACTGAATGCCAAAACCTAAAAGACAGCTGTTTGACCTACATACTGTGTGTGGGCTCGGTGCATGTGTACTGTGAAGCGTGCACACACACTTTTATGGAGCACTGTAGGCAAGCAACTTTAGTGTCTCTCGGGATATGTAAATTTCAAAGAACTTTTCGTTAGTGGCAAAAGCTCTCTCTGGGGCACATCCAACAGGTGCCACAGGAGAAGCGAAAAAGCTGCCACAAAAAGCTGCCACAAAAAGCTGCATACTTTACGGCAATTCGGCAAGCTTAAAGATTGCGTAGTTGTCCGAACTAAATAAAGCTTTTCAACACAGTAAAGCAGCTACAAACTCACCTGTGCACGTATGGCAGCCAGGTGTATTTGTTTGGCGCGCAAGTCGAATTTCTTCATGGATAAATCCTCCTGGAGCTCGTTAACCTTGTTGTACAGCTGACCCTCAATGCCGCGTGCTTGTGTGCGATTCAGCGCATCAATGGAGTCCTACATATATGATATAATACGTATATATATAAGTAGAAAGGTATTTCACATGTATATATGATAGCTTGTTACACACCTGCAGCTGACGTATTTGCAATTCCAATTCAATAGACTCACGCTTAAGCGACTCCAGTGCGGAACGTTGCGACAGCGTTGAGTGTCGGTCAAAGACGAGCTCGTTGCGCAAAATGGGCGTCATCTCCTGTGTATGTGGCAAGAGTAGAATGTGTTTGAGGATTAGAGTTCGCTCATTGAATTTAATTGAAAGGGGTTCCTTGGAATTAGCTACCTGAGAGTTACCTTATTAGGTGATCAGTCAAAGATTAAATTCTGTCGGCCATGAACGGAATTTACGCTCAGTGGTTCATTTTAAAGATCCTTTCAACTCAGTTGGTTAAAAGGTGAAGTCGGTCTAGATATCTTAAGTTATCTTATCTTATCTTAAGTTTTGTATTGACTAACTACAAATCTATTTTTAAATATTTTAAATATTAATTTCAGAAACTTCAGTACCTTATCGAGTTCTTCAATCGATAAATGGTAGAATTTCTAGTGCTTATTAACTCTAGCAATTGTTTAGACTACCCTCGTTAGTATCGCTGCATAGCTTGTATATTCAACACAATGACTTAATAGTCAAGGCTTAGGCTTTATCATTGGATTAAGCTAAAATAACCAACGCTACCAACGCTCATGATTTATAATATGAGTATTTGCTTACATTATAGTCAGCTGCCTCGTCGGCCGTTTCGCCCGGCTGCTGTGCTTGAGGTGGAGCAAAGGCGCGTCGTGGCACCTTCTGTGCCTGCGATGGTTGCGCCAGCAAACGCACAAAGTTCACCAGATCCTGCTGTGGCAAGACGGCGCTGCACTGGCTGGCCAAGCAGCCATAGCGCCTCGACTGTTCCGTGGCCTACAAATACATGAAAACCAATTATGCACATTTCTATATATATTTATAGAATTGTATACTTTATTATATAAATAAAAATGTGTTTTTGATGTCTGTTCGCACGCACCGAACATTATATGAAATTGCCTGGCGCAATTTGCGCACCTGGACACAATTATGAGCAATTATTATAATGGTGATGAAATTGTTTTCCACGCGGAGTGCAAATGAAGCCACGAACAAATTTCAGTGCTGGAAATTGTGTCAAGCAACCACCTGCTGATACTGCTGTTGGCAACAGTTGCAACAAATTGCAGCACGTAGCCATAAATCCTCATAATGTGAACTCACCTTGGCGGCAATTACATCGGCGCCCTGTTGCAACGAATCGGAAACAATGTTGCATAGGTCGTTGTGTATCTCCTCCAGCTCCTGCATCAATTGGGGCAATGTGTCGCAATGATAGGCCTCCAGCATGCCATTCGTAGCATGCAGTTGCTGCACGTACGCATTGTGCGCATCGATATATTCGGTCAGCGAGTGTTGGCTGGGATTTTGCCTATGTGCCAGATGGCATTGCTTGTAGTCCAGGCGACACTGCAAAACAAATAAGCCAAAAAATAAGAGAACAGAAAACAATACAGAGGCGTACAATTGTCAAGGGGCATGCGACAACATGGCGTATGTGCAATATAAATGACTGTATATATATATGTGTGTGTGTGTGTGTGGCTGTGGCTGTTGCTTTAAGCTGTTTTCTGCTTGCCAGCATACACAATCGTAGACACACGCTGTGCCACTTAATAAGCCAACGACGGCTTGGCAACATTAAGTGCAGCTCATTAATAAGACGCACTTGGCATGCCACTTAATAATGTTGCAAGTTGCTTTTGTTGTTGTTGCTGCCGCTGCTATTGCCGCTGTGTTTGTTTGTTAACGCACCTTTGACAGCTTCTCTTCAGTCTTTGCGATTATAGTCTCAAAAGACTCCCTGTGCGTAAAGATTTTGCGACTTTGAACTTTGCGATGAAAGGATTTATCCAGCATGGGCCGAGATACCTGCGTAAAAAATATATACAAAAGGCAAACATGAAAAAGATATAAAGACGAGAATTTAATTAATTTATAATAGGCACATAAACAGTTTTTCATGTCTTTTCATACGCACAGATTCCCTATTCTGCACGTTAGTCTTTAATATTCTCCAATCCCCGCGTTTTGTTTTAGCCAAAATGCAAATCATCATGCAAAATGCTAATGAAAACCAAATGGCTACAAAAAATAAGCAAAATACAGGCTATAAAAGAATATATAACAAAATGTTATACAATAAAAAACGAATTAGATGTAGATGAAGCATGAACGACTTGCAGATATCCTTTGTTTCAGCCTGCAGTTGTCTATATGAGATATGCATTTGTTTTTGCTATTTGTCGCTGTGATGACAGCGTTAAATTATATTGATATATATTGGGCCAAAGTATAAAAGTGTATATACATATATATATAGTATCTAGCTGATGTGTGTAGCTGTCTAGCTGCTGTACAATTTTATAGCTAAATATTTTTTATAAGAATCTAACTAGACAGCCTAACAGACTGACGTGACGCATATATGCATATATCTCAGACTCGTTTTCCAAGGCTTGTCGAATTGATAATGTTATTTTAGTATATTACAGTTCTCACATGTCATCCGTCTGTCTGTTTCACTTTTTGAATAACTTAACTGATTCGCACAGCATTGGAAAAAGAACTCATGGCTTAAAGATAGAAACTTGAATTCACTCAAAAATTCAGACGCATTCATACTGAAGTTATTCATATGGTTTGCGGAAAAGAAGCAAAGTGCGGACATAAAATACAAGGAAGCAAGTAGCATATATGTGTATGCAAGTGCATTTCAGAAGTAGCTGCACTGTGTGGGCGTAAAATGTAAAGCAGCATATATATGTGCATGTCTCCATATAAGCTAGAGAGTGTAAAACAGCATGGGTCAAGATATTGCAGAGTGGGGCACTGTCGACTACGCGGCTTTAGCTTGTTATAGACAGATAAGCATACTTTGGCATACTCACTACAGGCCTGACACTTACTTTTGTAGTTAAAAAATGAATAAACAAGATAAGTTAACCAGATAAGCCAACACAGAACGAGCTACAAAATTGCACATGTATAAAAATATAACTACATATAATGCAAACAGAAGCTAAATGTTCATATCCTATCATATCATCCTACCAGCAGTATATACCCTTTAATCTATAGATAGCAAGTGTATAAAAAAGTGATGACATTATGCGTCGCTTCAATTACACTTGCGAATTCCCAGGGCGCGCATATACTTGAATAGTCCGCACGAGCACAGACAGAGAGTCAAACCCCAGCACACACACACGCAGAGCTAACCCCAAGCGTTGCGCACATTAAGCGTAATTAGTCGGCTTGTATATACAGGTAACATATGCATGCATAAATGTATATACATAATGAAATTCTTTGAATAGCCCGCGATTGATTTAACTATGCCCATTATTCAATTAACGCATATGACAGCCACAATCTATTTTCGTTGCACTCGTTACAGTGGTTTGGTTTTTGTTTTTGTTTTTGTTGCCATTGAGGTCAACACAAGTAATCCATTTAACTGTCGACAGTTCTCTCACATACAGTTTTTAAATGCTTTCTCACCTGGCGGCTGAGGACGCTGGCAACATCGTTGCAGGCCTGCGAGTCGGTTTCCGCTTCCTGCAGGAATGTTTCCCATGCCTGAAAGATGGCCAGATGGCAGGCGGGTCTGTCAACATTTAACGAATGCCCAAAACGGTAACGAAATTGTAATTGGCAGTGGAAACGAAAACAAAATAAACATATCATTAAAAAAGCTTCATTGAATTTGGTATCCGTGACAGCGCAGCACGTACCGTTCCTTGCGCAGCTCGGCATTCTTCTTGCGATAATTGGATACTAAAGATTGAAGGGCAGTTGCATGTTCCTCATACAATTGGGAGAGTGATTCGTTGAAATCGGATACTGAAATGAAATCAAATCGAAAATGTACTTCAAATGTTAATTTAAATAATGAAAAAGAGTTGTATTTATAGCATTTCACATTAATAATTAATTATTTTTAATTTGCATTTTTGCATTTTGGAGTTAGCAGCATGCAACAAACCTTATAGTTTATGCAATTATTTATGTATAGCCGAGGCCCCTTGCTCCTAACTCCCTCACTCAATTATATATAAATCGATAGTTTCGACTTCGTGTGAACGACAGGAATATCAAATAGCAAACCAAAAACCAGTTTGAATATGCCAAGCAGCGCTCAATTTGCATAGCAGCCAAATAGGACTAGAGATGAGAGGAGATTTTTTCATAGGGTCTGATTTTTAGCATAGACCAAGGGCAAAGCCCTTTACAGCACTTGGGGCGCATACTTAATGTAGGTTCGAATTTCGTTTGCAAATTGCAAACTAAATATTTAATCCAATTTTCAGACAATTATTATAATGGAATTAGTAAAATGTGCTCAAATTTCTACTCTCTATAGTATTATTTTGTTCAATTTAAAGCAAAGCGAAGCCATTTCAAGTTGGCTTTAAAGAAATCTTTAGCAAAATGTGCAAGCTACTTTGATTTTCAGCAGCAAAGTGCATTAGCGTTGAGTACAGCACACACCCACACACACATGCTGCTGCAGCTGCTGCTTAGCAGCTAGAAAACTATTACGTGAAGCGTTTGCTCAAAGCTAACGCCCGGACTTCAGGCTCAAATGCACTTAAACTGAAAGTTGAATGTTTCAACTAAGGATTTAATCAAATCTTTACTACTCGAAGGCATTTACACCATGCACACACACACGCACACATTGAGCTGAACCTTTGCATGCGCACGCTGCGTATACTTAATGCTAAAAGGCTGCCTCGTAAAGGCATGAATAGCCCAGCCCACAGCAGACACACATACTCCTATAAAAAAATAGTCTGTCATCACGGTAATCCATCACATTTACGACTCTTTAAATATACATATATAAGAATCTGCACTGGCTTTTAACTCTTAGACACCAGACGCCAGTCACCTGCCATAAAGTCTTTATATATTTATTTTTATTGACCAGTAGCAACAGCAAGCAACAAGTCAAAGAACTTTTTAGCTGCATTTCAATAGAAATGCTGGCTTATTTAAGTGAAGGCATTCCAATTCCTGGCCATCTAAACGAAGTATTTGGCATTTTTTCCGAAAATTGCAATCATGTGCATCGATACCTGCGAGTGCAGCAGCTGGCCAAAGGCAAATCATGCTGCACAAAGAAATGTTATTAAAAACTTTTTTGCCGCACAACTCTCGCAGCTCAGAGCTGAAATTACAAACGGGCGACCCAAATGCAATTTTCTGTACAGTTTGTGTACGGCGAGAGTATGTTGTGCTTTGGCAGGCTGTGTAACTTTTAGTGACACAAGTCAAAAGTTATGCTCGTGCCTCCTGCCACACTCGATGGAGACACACAAGACTAAATATGAGGCATCAGTTGCCATAGCAAAGATGCCCTGTAAAATGATGGGCTGAGACTGGAGGCGGCGTTGCTAATGATTGGCATTGTAGGATAGTTATCGTATGTTAGCTTGTATGTAAATGAGGTATTAGCAGCTGGCCTTACATAATGTTGTTCTTAAATTTTTCAACATTTCTATAGAGAGTCTGCTTTACACACTATGCTTAACGAGGTCTGTTCAAAAAGTATCCCCAATTTTGTGTGTATTTCTAAAAATTATTCATTCATTCATGAATGTCTCCTTCAAAGTATTTCCCATCAAATAGTTTACACTTGTGCCAATGTTTTTCATTTATTCGAGGCACTTTAAAATATCATTTCATGCTCAGCTGCTCCTTTTATGTCATCATTATCTCCTTAATGGCCTTTTTCTTTCATGCCCCTTTTTCACCGTAAAGGGATAGGTCTTAGCTACACCATTTTGGAACAGCTTGAAATCAAAGATGAGCCAAACCACATCCAAGCAATGTACATTGTGATAAACAAACTGAGCATTCAAATTTTCGGCATAAATAAGGGACATGAATAGCAACATAATGCCATAAACAATCGAAAATCTAATATGGATTATACTTAACAGCGAAAACTGAACTTTGGCGATACTTTTTGAACATATCTCGTACTACATTTGCATTTCAATTCAGGAATTTTCTACATATTTTGCAAATTTGTAAGAAAATTGTATCTGAAAAGTGAAAAATGTACATGAAAAGTCTTCCTTAAATTATTAAATTCTTATTAGATATAAATTCAAATATTTTCAATATATATTCAATATATTAAGGCACTATCAAAATTAACTCTCTAAGTCTTTCCCTAATTAAATTGTCAATTTAATTCACAAATTTGATGACAGTTTAAACCATTTGTCTATAACATCGCTTCTGCTTTCTTTCTCATTTAATAATGATATTCCATGTAATTTGCCAGTTATAAAAAAATGCTTTAAATAAATTTAAATTCCTATTTTTCAACATGTTTACACATATTCACATTTACATATTTACAGCTTGTTCGCTGAGCTGTGGCTGCCAGGACTTTTGATTTGTTTTCAATGTTTTGCATTGTGCGCATTAAAACACATATTTTTGTGTTGCTCTTCATGTAAATGTGACAAGCAATAAATAAAATTCCATACAACGTATCATTTCCAAGAAGGAAAAAAAGCCAGCAAAACAAATAAATTACATTTTCATACCTTTCATTCATACTATTTGCCAGCCATTTGCTTTGATATCAAGCTGCCAACCATTAAAGGTCTACAGGGTATCAGAGCTGACAACAAGCTGGCAATGTCAGTGCAGCATGTGCAGAAACTTGTAACAAACTTTAAAAGGGAAGCAAAGACAACAACGCAACACAGAGATAGAAGGAAATGTTTGTCTTAAGCTGTAAAGCGGACACATCTCTATGGTAGCCAGATGCTAAGCTGGTGTTATTTATAGAGCTGGAAGTTGAAAACGTGTCCGACATCAATTCTATAGATTTATGGCACAATCACTAGGTATGCTGGAGCACAAAGACGCGCTGCGATTGAAATCAATAAGCCATAAAGCGAAAGCCACATAAAATAGAATAAGATACAAGGAACACACTCACCCACGCACACAAGTCAAAACAATCAAAAAACTTCGCAAATAAAACACAATACATTTCTCCCCACACACATAAACTGTTTGTTTGAGCGTGAAAATGGACAACAAAACTTTCGCTACATTCGCTCTTTGGCATTTGTATACGCTTCACACTCACCTGTTTTAATTAACTTAAAGTTGACATTGTTTTGGGATTTGAAAGCCTCGTTCAAGCTGCTGTGACTGTAGTCCTTGAGCACACCATTGTAGGACGCCATGCTGCCCTGTGGGCTAAGGGAACCACCGCGTGGTCCCCTCCACCCGAAGAAACTACGATTTTTTCGACCACTTGAAGATTTTCCCAAAGAATCTGTGCCAAATAAACAAACGCTTATTAATATTACAATATTACAACAACAACAACAAATCAACGAAACACAATCAAAGAGTAACCGCAAAACAAAAAAAAAATATTTCAAACTCAATAATTAATTCAAAGCAAAAAAGGTAAATTAATTAAATGGAAATTCGAAAAAAACGCAAATAGAATTATTGAACGCAAACAAAATTAATTTCATATCAATTTAATCAAATCTCAAACGAAATCAAATAAATCTGTAAGAAAATAAGTAAATAACTCGTAATGAAACAGTTTGAACGTCGCCGTCTCGCAGTTACCCCAGCTCCAGCCCAGCTTTAATATTTTCTGTTATTTCTTTCTACCTGTGTGAGATATATACAGAGCCCGCAGCCAGGTTGGTTGCGGCTGACGTGCCAGACAGCTGGGCACGCCCCCCTTTATCCACAGAGCGGCCGCTTGGCAGTCAAACAAATCGCTGCCTCTCATATTTATGCATAAATAATGAATCGAGCTGGGCCTTCGGTTGCCATCCATTCCATTTGTTGTATTTTCAGTTGAGCAAACGGAAATTTCAAGTGCTTGGGCGCCCATTACAAAAGTCAACAAAGCAACGCAGCTCCCAAGACATTGTCGAGGCTATCCAATTGAGGCTCATTTCAAATTCAATCGATAAATGAAGCGTAACGGCTTCTATTTCTACTTCGACTGCTTATTTTTGTTGGCTAACCAGCTAAAAAGGCATTTGGGAGCGTTCGGATTTTGAGTGTTCAAGTGCTTCCAATTGTTTGACCACACACACACACCCACACACACGACCTTAAGTAGTTGTAGCTGCATTGCATGTGGTTGGGCGCACGTGGCGTATGTGTAATTTTATTTCTTTCCCTTTATTTGTTCGCCCACAAAAGTGTGCTTTGGCAATTATTTAGCGACACTAAATGACGCCATTGCATGGCGGCGGCTTCTCGACTGCACATATTTCGCGGTGGCATAAGCCAGGGCGTGCCACACAATATACTGTGGCAGCAGCTCGGATCACGTCTAACACGCTGTTGATTTAGTTTCAGTTGATAGCTGCTAGTCCTGCTGGTCATCAAATTTGCTACGCTCTGAACTTTTAAATGAATTCCAAGTGGGCGACAACTGGATTCTTGAGGCGTCGCGTGCTCACGTGCGAGCAACTCCTAGCGCCCAGGATGCGCGGCAAATGTTGTTGATTACACTTCATGCGCTGCTAAGCTACGGCTACGGCTACGGCTACGGCTACGGCAGCAACAGCTGCAGCACAGTAGGATGTATAGCAGGATGTGCAGCATGCCTCCTTTTGCTATTTTGCCCTTTGTGAGCACACTTGCATTGCATTTGCCAAGGAATTATGTGCGTGCCCATTTCCAAGTGGAAAAACACGCGCTCCAAAACACCTCCTCCGACCCCGCGGGGGCGCCTTTGCCGGGGGCCACGCAATGCAAGGTTAAATCCCACCAACGTGTGTATGTGTGTGCGTGCGTGTGTGTGCATATATGTGAGTGTGCGTGTGAGTGTGAGCGTGTGTGTGTGTTTGTATGTCCGGAGCATATGCAAGCATGCACATAATCCACTTTGCATGCAAGAGGAGCGTGGGACGGAGATTGGTGCATGTGTGATAAGAATTAGGATAAGACGACAGGCAGTCAGCCCGGATTTGAGTTAAAGTCAAGCGGCGGAAGAGAACTCGACGCGTTCCATATTTAGTTTAGTTTTTGTTTTTATATTTATTCGCTCATAAAAGGTAACTATGCAAACGTGTAAGAAAAAATGAAAAATAACTCAAGTTTGGCATGCGAATAGCTTGCATATCCTTGCAGGAATTACTAATGCGCAGTTTTCTCTCTCTATTTCTTACTTATGCCTGACATCTGACTTCTGACTTTTTGTTTGTGAATTGCAACAATTCTTACAGCCATAGACTGAACTTGTATTTAGAGAGTTTAAGTGAAATATGTTGGATTTGTTTGCTTATAAACTGAAACTTAAAACGCTTCATGTTTATCTAGCAAATACATATATTAAGGCAAGTGTTTCATCCAAAACTTTAGCTGTAAAGCTGACAGTTGCGGCAAACTATTTATATATTATAATAACTATATAGCATGGCAAAGCCTAAGCTCGTCTCACATTCCAAGATGCTAGAAACTTGAATCACGAAACTATTTGCCAAGCAAAGGGAAACTTTAAGAAAATTCTAAGGTTTCTTATTGAAACTTGAATGCTTGTATAAGCCGCCAATGTATTTGAGCTCTTAGCTGATATATTACAAATTTGCAAAAAACTTTGCAGCTATAACTAAATATACTTTGCGGCTATAGCTAAATATATGCAATAAAATTGTTTCAATTTGACTTTAAAACATTTAAACAATTTTTAAAGAAACGTATATTTAGTATAATAGAAGGGTCAGTACCAAGGCCAGTCAATTTGGCAAGCATTAAAACGTGGTATACGACTACTTCTTAGAGTCTTAACAATCTTTTTATATTTATTCATATTTGTTATACATCTCACAATCTTGGTCAAATTATTTATGGTTAGCCAGCAGTCTTCATCTTAGACTCTTTTTAAAGTCGACTTCGAATTATTTGCATTTAAAATCGTCTCAACAGCTAACTATTCATACTAAACATGCTTCTTAGAGCCATTAAGAAATGGCTTTCTAGTCAAAAAACTCGTTACCAGTCGACATTTTCCTAGTTAATCTGACTCTTCTCAAAGGACACAAATTGAATGCATTTTCTGACACTTTCGAACCTCTCACCTACTCATGTAAAAAACCTTAACTGCATTCATGAATACTTCTGATGCCTTAGCATAACAAATCTTCCACCTGACAAAATTGCGCGCATAAGTAACACCTGCTAGGTATTTTTTTGACAAGCGCCAACAAAATATTGTCAACAACTGCAGAGCGAGAAAACTTGCAGCGCCTTGGCTGATTATGTAGTTGTCAATCAATCAATCAATCAATCAAACGAACGAATGAACAAACGTTTGTAGTTTCTCTAAGAATAAATTTGTTTTTTTTTTAGCAGCAGCAGCAGCGGCAGCAGCAGCATAAAAAATAACTGTAAACAATTTGATTAGCTTGTGAGAGAATAGATTTGTTGGGGGCACCTGTCACCTTTGGAGTGCGCGCCGCCACCAGCCCGACCAGCACCAGCACTGCTGCTGCCCGTCGCCCCGCCCAACGCTCCGCCACCCGCGTCATCCCAATTATCAGCGCTGCGGGAGCGCGCATTGAGCGCACGCTCGCGATCCTCCCGCGGTGAGCGCGCAAAGAGTCCGCCACCGCCGCCGCCGGCACTGCCAGCCGGACTGCGCGTACGCGGCGAGTCGTAAACACCCGCATACTTCTCCAGCGGCGGCGAGTAGCTGCGTCCATCCGGCGTCGCTGTGTTCGGTGTGCGGGGCTGCAGCTTGATGACCGGTTCGCGTGCCTCAAAAAATGCATCGAAGTTGTTCTGGCGGAGATTCTCGCTGCTGAAAACCGGATTCTCGACGTGCACATGAACATCTTCGCGCAGGCGGTTGCTCTCACGCTCACGCGTGTCCGAGGAGCTGGAACGTCCGAGTCGACCCAGTGGTATATGCAGCTTGGGTCGCAAGCGAGACTTGCTGCTCGTCGGCGATTTGCTGGCCACGCTGCTGGCGGAGCACTCAGGTGGCAAGTCCATGGGCGACATGGGTCGACCCCAGCCGGGACCAAAGTGTGCATGTGTCGGATCTGGTGAGGGTGGCTCCAAGAAGATGCTGGGACTGCGCGAACGGGCATCGACCATAGCGCCAGTCGCTCCGCCCGCTGCACCGGCAGCTCCATAGTCGATCAGACGTCCCTCCTCGTCGTAGGCGCTGCTGCGTTGGAATGGTGCACGTCCTGATGCAGTTGGATTGCCGCCTCCTTGCATGCTGGCGTCATTATACATGGACGTGCTCAGCGGTCGCTGATGTGGCAGCAGCGGCGTCAACGGCGCCTGTGAACGATTGCTGCGAACGCTCGAGCGTTTGCTGCCACCAGAATTGTGATTCGAGTGGGTGAGGGAGGCGCGTGAGGTGCGTCGCGTAGGCGTAGGCGGCAGACTCTGTGTCTGCGATGCTTGCACAGCAATTGGCAATGGAGTCTGCTCCGGCTCCTGCTCAAAGCTAAAAAAGTTAACACTAGGTGGCGGCGGCTGGCGATGCGGCGAGTTGGGCGGCGATGTGGGAATGCGTGACGGATTGGGCTGTTGTGCTGCGGCAGCTAACCACTCGGTGGGACGTGAGTCGTTTGTGTAGCTGGTGGCGGCGGCGCCAATAAAGTTGTTGCTGGAGCTGACGTTGGCTGGACTGTTGGAGCTGCTGTTCGCAGGTCTCGCTGGATACTCGATGGGTATGAGCGGCTCGCGCAGGCAATCGAGTGTGGGACGCGGTTTCACACGTGGTGCATAGAAACCATAGGTCATTAAGATGAGCTCATCGGCGGGATATATTACGTACATTCCTCAATGTCGCCATGTGACATGATGGCAACACGCTATGAATAATATCAGAGCGCTCGGGCTAATCCTTAACACTATAAGGTTATCAAAATCAAAAAGCTCTTAACTAAGTGAGGCTAACTACTAGCGATTTGGAGGACTTGTCTTTTGGTTTTTACTTTTACTTTTGTTACTCCTTTTCTAGCTGCGGCTAAAGTTATTGCAGTGTCGTCAATTTGTCTTTTATAATGTTGTTTTTGTTCTGTCTCAAAGTCTCAGTAAACTAAAAAGAGTTACGTATCGTAAATAAGTATTTAACATATATATATATAACATAGAAGAAGAAGAAGAGATATGGCAAATTATGTTAACTATACTTGGCGCGTACTTGATTCAACTTGGGTTTATCACAAAACGAGTTCGAACTTTTTGGGATCGTGTTGTCATTTAGAGCGTGGCATGCTGGCAATAACTGCAAAAGAGAGGAGATAGAATAATTAGAGTTGCATATATAAAGAGATTAACATTTAGTGTATCTAAATAGATTACAAACTATTTTTTACTTGTAACTTGGCAAGCCTGCATAATAGAAAAATTAAATTCCTATGTAATTTGCCTTGAACTGAAGTTTTTGATATTAAATAAAACACTTTAATTAATTGAAATAATATTAAATTTAATTAAAATGGCCAGGCAAACTAGAAAGCTATTAAACTAATTGAACTAATAATTCAATTTCAAAGGCAAACTAATAACAAAATGTACTCAAGTCCATCAAACATATCAGTTTGTTGTTTTAACTTTGACAATATGTCCTCAAGTTGAACAACAGCAATTCAATTAAAAGTAGATAAAAAGCTTTTCAGCCAATGTGCAAGGCAAATTGCGCGTCAAATAAACTTCAAACATTCCAACAAGTCCATTTCACCTACGCCACATGTCTGCAGGATATTTTCATTAATTAAAGCATTGATTGAGCTCAGTTTAATTGAACGGTGTCTGCCAAGCGTGATAAAAGTGAATGAAAACAAAAACTTTGACCGCAAACAGAAATGAATTATTTAGAATTTCGCATTTCGAGGCAATTTACGTGCTCATTAAATTGTTAAACATTTGAATTGAATTGCGAATGGCGAGAGGATGCCGTTGGATGCTGTCCAAAGTTACCAGGATTTGGAACAGTCGGAACAGCTGCTGGACCAACTTTGTTGGGCAGTTGGCAAAACAAAAGTTAGCCAACTTTTCCACATGTCTGCCAAAACGAAGGCCTAAACGAAGGCAATGCGTGCTTAGCCCAGTTAGCTAAGAGCTCCATAACGGAGCATTAGATCGCTCTGCACAAAAATTAACAGAAATTATGTACTTAGCTAAAACTCAAGTTACGCGCCTGAAGCTTGTTGTTATAATGCTGAGCGGCCATTAGGAAATTGATGAGCCGAATTAATTGGAGTGCTAAAGGAAAAGCTGCGCTAAGTGCAAACAAAATTGATTGTAAAATGTAATAATTGGGCAAGGGAAGGACGAAAAGCTGTCAAGATGATATATGCGCAGCCCGCAAGATAAAGAGAGAAGTTTGTAAGATTATCAGAATGTGGAGCTGTGGGGGAAAGCGATTCAGTTAACCATAATACAGACTGGTTACATTTAATAAAAGTTTGAGAGAAGGTAAGTTAAATAAATTAAGGTTTAGCTAACAAGATAAACAGGACAATTATCTTTGTAAGTAGATTCAACAGTCGAAAATGCATTTCAAATTCAGATTCTGTTCAGCTTAAAAAGCTTCTGATTCTTGACTACTTACGCCTATTGAACTTTATCAGTAAGTTACATCATCTTCAGCAGCCTGAACAGATTCTGTTTACAAGCTTATAGTAAAGGCGCACAAATAAAATAAATATATATAAAATGCATACATATAAAAATAATAATAAAATCAAAAACATTGTCATGTAATAATGATTAGATCTAGCTACAACTAAAACCTTCAAAAAACCGAAAGGATCTCCATATCCGCGGTCCCATCACATAGTCAATTCCCAACTAAATCACAATACACATGATAAATCAAAAGGAAAGCAATCACAAATCACTTACTAAAGACCAATATTAACTATAAATTACTTTGAATTGCTTTGGCATCTTTATCTACAAATTTATGGCAAAGACCTGGCTAACCTCTGGGTACATAAACAAGACAAGCGCAAACTTAAGTAATATTGAGATACTTTTTGGCCACTGGCCAGCTGAAATCTAGACGGCATTGAAATCGCATTACGCACAGACAGCAACAGCAGCAGCAGCAGCAGCCCAGAAGGCGATTAAATTCGTATTGTCATAAGCTGACAACAGACCTTGCATGCGATGAATACAAGAAGAGAAAGCAAAGAAACCCCGAATATGCATCAATAAATAAATAAATGAATCCGCTATAAATGATGAAAATATTTTCATTTGCTTTATTTTTTTTTTTTTTTTGAAGGGGAAAGAAATCACGCAATTGAAAAACCAACTGAATTATTTATAAGCTGCAATGCCTGTCAGGTGTGCGTGTGTATGTGTGTGAGGTGTGTAAAGTGTGTGGCAGGTCAGCACACACATAAATAATTACACAGACCTAAATGCCAGCGTTGCAACTAAAAACGTGGCAAACTAAATGGAATAAGTAAGCACATTACAGTGGGATCCAACCGACTGCATAAGAAGCGTTCATGGTCAGTGAAATTAGTTGAAATTTTCTGAAATATATAATATATTTCGACATTTATCAAAACCTGATTTATAATTTATACAATTTATTTATCATCTAGTAGAGGAAACAACTGTGGTTCTGGCTCTGAAACAGCGAAAGATATTTTTCTTGTCAGGTCTTTCATAGGATCTAATTATATATATTTTCAATTTCCTATAGTTTAATCTATCTATCTCCATGTTCTTTTCGTAAGCTGTATACTCAGTCATATGAGTATATACTTTAGTTTAGATATCTCGAATTTCAAGTCTCTAACTTCGCAAGCAAATATACCCACTCCAAGTTAGAAAACAGCAAATGCTCATCATGATGTTACCTGCTGATGATAATCATGTTCAGGATGATGTAAGACCAATGATGCATTTGCAGCTGGTTATAAAAAGGTTATGCATATATGCAAATATTAACCTTCCATTTGCCCAGCAGCAGCACCAGCACTAACACACACACACACTCACCCACCCACACACTCACACACACAAGCCCGCCCCGATAATTGAATTGTTTTGCAGCACTTTAGCAGCTCGTTAAATCTGTCAACATTGATCAATCATGCTTAGAGCGGAGAAGCATGATATACGTGAATACAGAAAAGTGAAAACATAAAAAAATGGGAACTGAAAGCTTTACATGTCAAAAGGTTAACACAGAGAGCGAGCGACTCTGTAAAGTATACGATTTATCCAATATGCCATATGGCAGATGGCAATATCATAAAGCAAAGCACAAAACGGAAGCCAATTTATGAGATGCACAAGCAACAGCAACAATAGCAACAGCAACAGTGACAAACGCCGTCGGGCTGCAGCAATTTGTTTGTGCCATAAAAGTGCAACGGTAAGTATATAAAATTAATTAACTACAAAAAAGAAACAAAAACAGAAATAATAATAAAAACAATGAACCAATCTGACGCCGTCTGACAATGGCACTGACAGCCCCGCAGCGACCGACAGTGGGGCAACAATTGAGAAACTGCAAAGGGGGCCAAGAGGTGCCAAAGCAGCGGCAGATGTAGATACCGAGGCAAAGGCAGTAGCAGTGGCAGTGGCAGACTGGCAGCCCGTTAGCTACTTTGAAGTACTTGCGCTTATCATTCATGGCAAGCTCAGCAAGAAAATGAATTCCAAGCAGGCAAGGGAAATACATTTCTGTCACCATAAACGTAGCTCAAATACCCTAACGAAAGAAAAATATACTTCTAATACTTTTAGAACTAAAAAGTCAAATATATTAAATTAATTCAGCTTCGTATTTCAGCCTCCGTCGCAAACTCCTCGCATGTTTCATTTCCTATTACCACAAAAAAAACGACAAACTAAAATATATTACGTAAAAGTTTTCATACATTGATATTTCAAGAAATTTAATATTCCCTGCAGTGTTTCAGCTTTCATTCTTTTTTACAGAAAAAGTTTTAATGAATTTTGAGTGGCATCAAACAAAAGAAACTCGCCTGAAGTCCGACAGTTATTGAAATACAATCCAACGGGTTATTGAGTAAAAAGTTATTCAGTTTACGTTTTACGTTAAATTAATGATTATCCGAATATGCATTTGCATCAAAAAATCATTCATTCAAATTGAATCCATTCATATTCGTAGAATTTAAATGTGATATAAAATGAGTTGAAATTTAAAGTGGGAATAAATATTAAAAGAATATATTTTCGAATTCAGATGTCTTTTT